ATAATATATTTATTGTCTGTAATAAATTTATATATTTAAATTTATATGATTGCATTTACATAATAAATTGTTAAATATCAACAAGTAAAAGAGATTGTTGCTCGTATGCGTATTTTTTTGAACAATATTGTACTATTTTTTTTAGTTCAAAAGATTTTAGAAGAACTGCAGGTATGCAAAGTTGTCAAAAAATAAAAAAAAAAGCCACTTACTGAGAGGCCTGGGGGGTTCCTCTACCTCTTGTACTATACTAGGAGTGCCGTGCGCGACTCGATTTACACCGGTGGTCACCTCATCCTGTGCATAGGCAAGATTCTCTTGGCCGGCGAGACTCGTCGCGTGGCTTTCCAAAGCTTGGAGCTTTTTAGAACCACGTAGAGAACGGCTGAGTATTTCTTGCTTTTCCTCCTCTTCTTTTCGTTTCCGTAGCTGGTCCTACAATAGTACGTAATCGATAAATAATTCAGTTGTGAGTTAAAACACAAAACAATTCGACAGAAAGTCAAATTTCACAAAGAGAATAATTCTTTAAATTCTGACGAGAAACACATACGCGCTACTTTTGTACGATTGAAGCTCGCATAAAAATAAAGAGAGGCCTTGAACGATATCAAGCTTAAAAATCGATCAAATGCCCTCGCGAATACGTATGCTCATTAGTTATTCCGAGGCAGTTTATATTAGGAAGAATAGTATACTTTTAGTTCCTAGTCTCAACTAAATCTGATGCCACAATCTGTGTCACGCATTACAAATTTTTATTATCAATCTGATACGTGACATTTCCACGTACAAAACGGCGCTTCCGTTATATAAAAATATCTTTGGCGACGTCTATTTTTCAATATTTCATTTATTTTTATACAAAAAAAATTCTCCCCTATCATTTGCACCAATTTTGAAATTCGGTAGTTGCAGAAGAATATTTCTACTTTTTTTATTTTAAAAGTTCTTGTTTATTTTAAAAGTATTTGTTGTATTTAAATATATATATATATGTTAACAGAATCTATTCAACAAATAAGATGCTAAAACTTTGTGTTTTTAAATTTTAGCAAACTTTCTCGATATGATAATCTGAATTTCATCTATACGCGTATATAAACATCTCGATCTAGTAAATATTATATATATATATATATAAACATATATTAACACAGAAATTAAGAATCTAATTTCTGAAACTTATTTCTCTCTCAGTGAGTCCTACTTGTGATCAAATTGCACAAATTTGCCACGCTGTATCGACAACGTTATTCTGTGATTTGTGATCTATACGCCCACCGGCGTCAGTTGATAAAGGTCGGCGTTAGCCGAGACTCGTCGTGTGTTTTGTCGCCGTAAAATTGCTATAACAGTCACGCGCAGCCGACGATAAAGAATATATACTGCAGCCGGCAAGAAGATATTCGTAATTTTCATTTTAGGTATATAATGAACGCAAAGTTTTCTTTTCACCTTGTGCGGAGCTATGTTGTGTAAGGATAGAAATATCTCAGTGAAGCCCTGTTTACCGCGACAGTGGACATAAGGTTTCCTGCGGAACTTGAGCTTGGTCTGTCTCACAATGTCGCTAGACGACACCGCAAAGGTTAAAATGGGTTTCAAAATTTTCACATGTACATGTTGATGAAATGCAACGTATACATATACAAAAGACAATACAGAAGAGTGCGGTTTATAAGTAAATAAACAAATAGATTCCCCGAACACGTTTCGAATATATTTTTAATCTTGTTCATAAAATGACCAAAATACACAATGGTGGAAATATTGTCACAATAAAAATAAATAAACAGTAAACAATTTGGAAGTACTAAAAATATCATAGACAATATTTTTACATCAACAAATCGAATTAAAAAGATAAAGTTACGAAACTACGCAGTTAAGAGTCATAAAAAAATAATTGTACATAAATAGGCAATTAAACAAAAATAAATGTAAAATGTAAAATTAAAAACTTTACAGATAGATTAATATGTTGTGACTAATGAACATGTAATAGAGACTAAAAATAAAAATAAAAAAAAGGGACTTTTTGAATATATCCTAATTTGGGAGCAGCACCTGCTGTCGCGTGTTTCGAGACATTAGAACCGCCGCAAGTCGAATTGAGGATCTGGCAAAGGGTGGCTTCGCTTGAGGCAGATCAAGAAACTGAGGTCAGGGATATGAGCCGGACAAAAAAAAAAAAAAAAAAAAAAAAAAAAAACGAAGAAGAGAAACAGATCTGAATGCAGCATGCGGAGCCTGCGGCGTCACCCTGCGTCTACACCTATCGAAACTTCGTAACGTTACACTCCAGGCGTGTAATCTTAGACTATTGTGGAGGTTCTTTACATTCCAGACCACACTTGACTTAAGGCAGGTAAGAGCCGCGGTGGTGTGAGGATTCCATAAGATAAACATACTCATGCGGGCTCCACGACGACGCCAGTCACGTAAGGGGAGGAGAGGAGGGAGGGAGCTGTTCTGGCATTTCTCACACTTACAGATACCGAGATTGCATGAATTTCAAGCGGATACACTCGAACCACGAGCTTTTTTTTCCAGAGATCTTATCCACACGATTCAAGCGCATGACGCTCGTTTGATTTTCACATTAAGAATTCAATGAAAGGCATTTCGGAAAAGCCAATACACACCAATAACGAAAGAAACGCTTATCTTATCGCGAAGCACCACTTATCACGGACGAATTAATGAATTCTGTGATATTAAAAACAAATCAAGAGCGCGCACGCTCTTTACAGTTATTTATGCATCGACGCGTTTCTGATTTCGTTCTTTGTCGATGACATTTTTATATTATTATTATATAATACGCGTGTATTTTTCCGGAAATCAAATAAATTTTACGGCGCAACGTGTGTCGCAACGGAAAATAAAATAAAATATTCCACGCCGTTTGACATTCGTTTAATAATTCCGAGATGCGCGCGCGCGCGCGCGCGCTCATTAACGCTTACATCGATGCGCCGAATTAATTTTCACTCACACAAGGTCGACTATATATTCATTTATCAATCAACAACCTACGTCGCCAGCAGGTTTTCTCGCGCGTTAGGAAATTTCGGAAACAGCATCCGCGCGCGACGACGAGTGCTTCGATAATAATAACACAACCATTGTCATCAGCTCGCAATTTCCTGCGCGCAAATGCGCGCACGTGAGTATAGCGAGATGAATTCTGCATTCTCTCAAATAACGATCGGCAAATCATTTATCGCGCGCGTTTGCGTAATCGCTATTATCCTTCGCGCGCCGTTTTCTTCTCCTCTCACATTTACGATTATCCACGAAATCTCTCGACTTTTCGCCCGGATCGCTCGTTAAGACGATCTAATCCGACGATCGTTACAACGTACAATCGTAAGCTTGAAAATAAAAGACGCATTTACGCCGCCGCGCCGTGACGAAATCGTCGAGAGAGAGAGAAGTGTCCTGTATTTTACGAGAATAGATACTGAGCTGTAACTTGCGCCAATCTTTCTTCAAGTATGTGCAAATATATTGTGTTGACTGTAACTTTTTTTCTTTCTTCTATATAGAAAGCGTTCACGGATCAATTTAAATTCTGAATACCTTCGTAAATGTTATCATTTTCAAATAATATGATTTGTAAAGTTTGAGCGCTAATTAGGCTGCGCACCTATCAAGATTTCGATCTCGACAATTGTTTTCGCTTCGCTTTCCCGCGCGGGGAACTCACATTCCACTCGTGTTCTCCGCGATTCGATTTCGAGGCAAAATTCCAAGTTTTCGTTCGCGTCGCTTTTGTACATTCTTATCACGCGTGCGTGCTTACGTGATTCGGCAGAAATATACACGAGGTCTCAAAAACACAGGAATATTACATAATATTCTTTCTCACCTGATATTTCCTGATAGAGTGAAGCTGCTGCGGGGTCGGTTGTTGTTCGGTGACGTTCGCATTATCGCTCGTCTCGACATTGTTGTTCTGCGTGGACAAACGTAGATTATCTTTCGGCGGTCGAGCGGGCGCTCTCTTCTGCTCGCGACTCGGAATGGGCGGCTTGACCCCGTTGAGACCGGCCTAAAAAATCCATTCCAAACAGCTCGCATTAATAGTCCCACATGTCCGCAGTGTCGCGCGAACTACTACTTTTTTTTTAATCATCTGTGCGTTACTGTTTCATTCTTTTTTTTTTCTTTTATCACTTCCAAACTTTTCGCACTTCAATCGAATCGAGAAATACTTCGCAGAACCGTACGAGGAAGTGACGAAGGATAAGAGGAGAGAGAGAGAGATAGAGAGAGAGAGAAAGAGGAAAAAAGAGCAAGCTTGACGCAAGAAAAGCGAGAGAGCGAGAGACGCATGCAAGAAAGCGTGTCTCGACATCAAGTAGAAGTAAAATGTCTATCTCGAAATCCATAAATATCTATAAAAAGACGCACGTTGAAGTGTGATCTTTCCAAGACTTCAATACATTTCCGTTTACGTTTTGTGATGTCGAAAGCCAACAGAGCTTATAAACGTCGAGTATATATGAATCATTCACAAATCAATCAAAAAAATTCGAAAAAATAAAAAATATATATATATACCGTCATGGATTCAGTTTTTGATCAGTACCCAATTTTTAATCAGTTGTTAAAAACGTATTACAGTAAAGTTTTGATCATAAAAATTAGTTTCCGAAAAAAGTTTTGGCGTGATAATTAATTATTCCGACATCTATGTACGTCCTGTCGGATTAATTTTAATGACCAAAAACCTTACTATAATATTTTTTTTAACAAACTGATCAAAAACTGGGTCCGTGACGGTATATATAGGTAAAAGACCCAATTACACATTCTAAGCTATTTTATTTAAAATACTAAAAAACGAAAAATTTTTTTTTTTTTTTTTTGTTTTTCATATCTTGTTACATATATGCAATGTAAACCTCCTTCTCCCTCTTTAAACTAGGGTGCCACTAATTAGGTCAACTACATTTTAGGAGTGACAGTAACAGCTTCCACATCGTTCTTTTTTAATTGTTGAATTTATACACGAAAATAGAGATTTTTTGAGAGACGTATTATTTTTTTTTTCTTATATTAGAGACCCCGAATAATAACAGATGAGAAGAAAAACACACGTTTTTGATAAATAAATAATAAAAACAATAGCAACGACGTCATAGAGTTCATCGTTCAGGTGACGGTAATTGGGTCTTTTGTCCTATATTTTTTTGTTTTCGAATTTTTTGAAATGAATTTTTTGAATGGCTCACACAGCGCGCCTTTCGTTCGACATTACAAAACTCGTGTCATACACGTGGTTTAACATTATTACACAGTTTCTACCATTACGTTATCGGCATCATTAGGCTGATAGACACGTTACTTCGTAAGATCCGTTCGTGCATAGTTCGCGTCTACTTTACCCATGCTGTGTTGACGGTTTTATCCGAAGTGTCGGAAGTGTTGAAATTCCAACTTAAGAAATCCCTCATATTTCTCTACGCATACTTTCTACTTAGAAAGAAAATAACCGAACGGTTGTTTTTGTGCTTTTTTTTTCGTGTGTGTTTGCAAATAATATAATAAGAGATTGCAAAACCGGGGGTTTTACAACTCCGTGCGATTCGCTCGAAGCGACGTCGAAATGACGCCGTTTCCGTATCGAAGATTCTTCCCCTCCTCCCTTTCTGCGCGCAATTGAAATTTCCGAAGCACAAGAACAGCTGTTCGAATTGTTCGTTGGTCGGAAGTACTCCGAGTAGCAAGTTTGGCAAAGTCTGTTGCGGTTTTACCTGATGTTCGACTGCTTCGATGTGCTGCGATTCGCACGAGCGATTCTCCACAACGTGCGTTGGTGATATCCGTGCGCTTTGCTTCGTAAACCCTTCGTGGAATATCGTCGAAGGATATTCCCGATTCCATCGACGCAAGGATGCGATTCGCGAGACAAGACAAGTCGAAAATGGGATTTTGGAAATTTCGGTCTGATTGTCGATTAAATTCGAGAGATCGGACAAGCTCTTCGATAACGACCGACGACCGGCGCGGAATTTCATCGCGGTATTCCTGTTATGTAACACGAGCGAAACGCGGCCGTTCAGCAATCTGGAGAGTTTGTACTTGAACGATAACTTCAAATTTTTTTGATTTTGCCGACTCGGCAGGTCGGCCGAGCGGTCGACATTGTAGTCGCGCCGCTCATCGTTTCGCGATGAACAGAAATCGTTCGGATCGCGCGTGTCGTCGAGCGAATGACGCACGGCACGCAATTTCGCGGAAGATTCGCGCAAGGAATTCCGAGAATTCTGATTCGCCTCTTGGACGAAGGACAATTCGTCGTGATCGTTATCAGCGAGTTGTTTGCGGCAAATGTCATCGTCTTTGGATGACGAAACATTCCGCTCGCCGATCTCGTTTGGACAGAGAGAAATACCGTTCTCGGATTTTGTTTGCAAAACGGGAAGATTTTTCGAGGAATTCGCGAGAAGTTCGGCGTCAGAAACGGAAGCGTGTGAGCAGCACGCAACGTTGTCGATCGTTTCCTTGGAAACGATCGAGATTCGATCGTTCGAGTCTTTCGCGAGCGAGGGATCTCGCCAATTTTCGGGAAGTTCCTCCCGAAGCGTGGACAACGAATTTTTCGTGTTTTCGAAAAACTGCTCGAAATAGAAATTGTCGTAATAAAGTTTGCCGCCCTCGCGATCGTCGGACGAGCTCGAGGCAGTCTGGGAAGTTTGTGACAACTCGGCCGGGTCCGTGTACCCAACAACGGGTGCGTGAGTGCAAAGCTGTGCCAATGAAGCTGCGTTAGAGCGACGCGTGACGGAAGCGGGAAGCGGTTTGCTGTGCTCAGCGTGCTGCGTGATAGAGTTCAAGCCGTCGAGTATCAAGCTCTTGACTCTGGACCTTACCTTCTTATCGTTGTGCTTACGGTCTATCGTGCGCGCGACCGCGGTCTCTCTAGAGCTACCGTCCGTACTAGACAGCTTCGTCAAGCTATTATCGTTCGGGGATTGGCAGAGGGAGGCTACGAGCGTACTCGTCGTGGTTGTCGTGGCTGTCGTTGTCGCGCACGCATTCCCCTCGTTGGCGACGGTCGCGCAATCGACGCGATCGCGCTTTGGCTCGAGGGTGTTGTGCTTGCTGTTAGCGGGGGTTTTATTGGGCGGCGGGTATACCGGGTGGCACTTGGTGACCGGTACAAAATCCGGCGGACAGTCGACGGCCACTTCGCGGTAAGACCTGCCGCCCACTACGAGGAAACTACGATCGGCGTTGTGCTCGAGATCGCCAGAAGCTTCACTTTTCAGCGTGGAGTAGCCGCTGGAGATCTGTTCGTGTCGTTTCTTCTTTGGCCGTTGCCGGGACGAGGAGGACGAGGAGGAGAGATCGTTCAGCTCGATGCCGAGCAGATCGTCCGTCGAACTGGCCCTTATCAGAGCCTCGATATCGAGACTGCGCGTTTTCGCTTTCAATTTGGCGCGATCGTCGTGCGGCCGGCGTTTCGGCGTCTTGCCGGTCTTGCTCGGTGACTCCGTTTGCAGAGACTCCAGAGTCTGCTGGTCCTTGGCACAGACAGGCGAGACTTTATCTTGATCCTTGGGTATTCTCGAAATTGAACATTGCTCGTCTATCAATCGGGTCAAGTCCGTGACCTCGTCGGATCGCAAGAGTCCTTGAAGATCTTGCAGGTCTGTCAGTCCGTAAGCTGGATTGTCGAAGGACGTCGCGTCTCGATTACGGCCGAAGAGCGGAGCAACTTTGATGTCGGGTACAACTGATCTACACGGAGAACCGAGGTCTATTCTTCGAACATCGTAAATCGGAGAGTCTTTGTGATTTTTACTGTGTCCCCTGAGCATCAGACTGGTATCGAGGGGCGCGGTGCTGTCCGATCTGCCCGACGAGCTTCTCGGACTCGCGGAATCGTCACTGCAAGTTTTTAACATAGTGGGATAATCCTCTTTGGCGAAAGGATAATCATCCTCGACGTCGACACTGGACTCTTTCTGCGCGTCTGTGTCGGCGTTCTCATCCTCTCCGAATACCTTGAAATTGCTTTTCAAATTCAGCGATTCGGTCTTGGTCGGACTGTCTTGGTACTTGTCAAGCCACGATTCCTTGCTTTTCACCTCCTCCTTCTCGTCCCCCATATTTAGCTGGATCGTCAGCACGGACGGCTGAAGACCGTTGCGAGCGTTGATTGTCCTGGCAGCGGTGTCGTCGTGCGTGTGATCGTTCGATAAGTGTTTAACGCGTGCGTCCGCGATGGTGCGCGTCTTAAGGATCTCGTTTTTAAGGTTTAGGGAAAGGTCGAGGTCGCTAGCGCTACGGGGACGATGCTGTAGCCCGTTCCTATATTCGGAAGAGCAGTGCTTTACCTTGTTGGGATAGGCCTTCTGTAATAGAGTGTCGGGCACATCAACAGGTAGCTCCCGATGATGGCCCAGGGCGCCAGGGGCCCACATCTCATCGGGCCCCAGTCCCTCCTGCGGCTTCTTCGCGTCGCGCGAGCTGCTGTTGTTGTTCTCTTGCAGCTGCAATTGCTGCTGCTGCTGAGAGTGTATGTCTGTCACGCCACTATTGCTACGCCTTCGGGACCTAAAACAAGAGAGAAGAAATCCTATGTTAATCATCAACGTGCGTTACCGCTCCTTCTTCTGCTTGTTGTTGTTCGAGATATCTCTCGTCTGTTAACGTAACGCAATGCGTGTGTGAGGTTGCGATCTGTGCGCGAAAAAAAACCAAAGGAGTAAACTCAAACTTCTTTACTTTTAAATGTTAAACTGTTTTTGACAAACAAGACAAGTAACTGTTAAAGACAAGTAACTATTTTAAAGGCAGAAGAAATTAAGTGAAGGATAACCAGAGATAGATATCGACACACATTTCTTTACACGCAACTTGAAGTAAATTGCCCGGCTGTTACGTGCACGCGTTACGGTATGCATTTACGGATATAATTAGACAGCTTTGAGGCGCAAACTAATTCAATGTTGACTGTGCAGCACCTACGACAACGTATTATTAAGACAAGGTCACGTTCGCGATAGAAAGTAAGTCAATATAAGGAAAGATGAGATAAACTCTGTGATTGCGGCACATGATTCACCTGCATTGGTGGTTCTTATCGCGAGCAATAAATTGATATTATATAATAATTATAACGATAATGACACGATAATAATAATAGTAATGATGTTAAAGCGCGATATTATTGATATTTTTTATTTAAATTTATCAGCATTGTGAAAATAAACGAGTGGCAATTACATCATCGCACAACGTAACATTGTCTCGCAGTCGAAATTTATTGAGTTTGTGTGAAAAATGATAAAACACAAAAATACAATTCTCTATCAATAACAGAAAATTCCACGTCTCTATCTCAGCAATATCTCGAATATTTCTTCCTTTCACATTTTTAGATTTCGCCGAACGTGACGACGGTGCTCAAGTGGAAATAAATTCAGCCGCCATATACCTATATTACGACTTTCGATATCAACGTTATATGATGTTTCAAACGAATGTTGGAATCTCGTAGCCGTTCAATCGCGCGAGAAGTCTCCGGAATATGCGCATGCCGACTGCACAAACCAAAAAGGTTACTTTCAAGAAAACCTAAAATATATGTGCCCCAATGTTGCTTGTCAATCGTCGCTTTTTTCATCAATCGCTCGAAATAGATCGTGACGGTTTTTTTCCTTTATAAGATATTGCTTTGACAAAAATAGCTTACGAGCTATCTGAAAATCCTGTCGATAAATCTCGTATAGTCGAGAAATTAATGTGTGTGTTGAAATGTTATAATTCTTCCTTATAAACACATGTGAAACGCTATAAATATAAATCTTGTGTGAATTAGAAGAAATTTGATAAAATGAACAACTACACACGAAAGATTCACGAAATTCGTATCATGTTTAAATGTAAATTTCAATATCGCCCCGATAAAACGCAAAGTTTCATGTAACAGCAATATACATATATTATTAACACAACGTATGTAACGTATATACATTGATTGAACACCCAGTACAAGTTTAGATGATAAACATACAAAACGCATTTAAATTTCATTAAATGATTTGCATTGCGTTACAACGATAATACAATAATTATTTACAAACAAATTGCTACATTTGCATAATAAGCGCGCACGATTGTTACAATTAAATTTGTTAAAATTTTCAAGTTAAAATTTGCATGTGCGTGTTAAAGCACTTATATTTGCAAATTAATACTTTTCGGTATATTGAATGAATAATAAAATAGAAATTTAGTGCGCCGTATTTTTTTTTATATATAAATTGCAATTTTTAATAGATATACGATCTAAAATAGCGCGTATTCTGTAATAAAGTTTAAGTAAATAAGAAGTAAAATACTCCTATGATTAAAAAAAAATATAGTTATATCTATGTTCATCTCTTCTACAAGATTATTTTAAACATACAGTTTTTAGGCTTAATCTTGTATCTTTAATCTTTTTTCTCTTCTAACCAAATAAACGATATTTTTATGAATTTATACCAGTATTTGTATAAATATTGAAATATAAATTAAAAAAGAACTGATGTTTTTAAAGATTCTCAATCTAGAGAAGAGAAATCTGACTTGTAAATATATATATATACATATATATATGGAGTCTTCCAGTTCGATAGCTATCGAATATCTAGCACAATAATTTTCACTCACGCATGCTTTTGCTTTACATTGAGGCACAACACAAGATATCGGAAATTAGATTTGCTTGACAAAGACATGACCCGACCATACCCGAGACCAAATGAACCTTTTCGCAGATCTGGTTACACCGGGCGTAGCGTATTCAACACAGAAACGCTATTACACTCGTCGGTCCTTACGCAAAATAAGCGCGTAGATTCGTAGAACGAACGAAGAAAGAGACAATGGAAATTGCGAACAAAGACGATAGGAAATACGGTGGCGTGATTCAATATTCGTGTACGCTTAAGTTTAAATGATGCCCCGCGTTTTCATTGGAGTCGTCTTTCAGAACACGCTTTAATGAGGTTCTTCACAGATAATGCTCGCGCGCGATGATTTAAAAAAGAAAATGAACCATCGGCAGAGTCATTTTTTTTTTTTTTTTTTAAGGTAATTTAATAAGTAAATAGTCGAGATATAAGTTTTTTCAATATTCACACACAAAAAAGCACTTTGATTTTATAAAAGATAAATATATTTTTTTCTCGCATAAAGTTCCCGCATATAAACTTCTCTCGAGTTCTCTATAGAAACAGTTTTCTTTTTTATCAGGTTTCTAAATTCAGGAAGTAATCTCTTTTTTATTCCGTCTTCTAAATGTTAATTGACGTATTTACGGCGGCGATTAAATATCCAAGAAGCAAGCGAGACCCAATTTCTGCAACATCCGACCGGATCTCTCGCCACGAAACCTCGCGTCTTTTTTTTTTCCGCACGTTAGAAACGTGCTCGGATCGTACTTTCCAATAGTTAACCGATCTCGTTAATGCGTAAATGCGAATCGCACGCGCGCCGCGTGCGTCTGTTTTCACGTGGATGGGTATATCGTAACAGAAAACGTGATCGGGTCAACGTGCGTTGTCTTCAACGCAAACCTGCGTCTAGATCGATCGACCTACTGACGGTTTTCGAGAGAATTCTCTTTTAAAGGGAACGGACGCAAGGACGGAGAATGAGAAAGCATTTCTTGAAGATTCGCTGAGGTCAGGAACAATCTCGAATCACTCGTTCGAGAAAACTTGAAAATTGTGAATGTGTCTTGAGTCCCGAATTAAGTGCAGTTTTGTGCCCGAAGGGTCGATTACGTCGCCTCGGAAAAATGTTCCGTCTGGCATTTTCCTCGAGAACGACAATCATCGTAAAAATGTACATAGTTTCGTGCGGGAGAGCAAGCACGTTTTGTGCTGCAGCACGCTACATGAAAGATCGAACGGGAGAGAAAAGAAGAGAAAAAACTATTGTACGCGCGCGCGGAACATATTTAAGTAAGTAATTAAAGTTTTACAGACTGCAATCGCCGACGTACGTTCGCCGACCATTTCTTTCTCATTAAAAAGAAACGAGTACTCACGATGAAGAATCTAATTAAAAAGTTAGTTTTTTTCTTTTTTTCGGTTAGTTTTCCCGTTAAGTTTCGTGAATCCAAAGTATTCGCGCGGACAGTTGTGTTATATATTATAAATTTTCAATATTCTCTACCGCGAGAGAAGAAAATGTTCTTTTTCTCTGCGCGACACGCAGCGCAATTCTTCACGTCAGAACTTCCACTCTGTTTCCTTGCCTCGTTTTTACATGAAATTATGTCGAGATTTAATTGTACCGAGAACACGTAGCTTTTCACAAAGGCAACTTTTATCACATTTATGAGGACGTTGCTAATTTGCAGTAATTGCGTCGAAAAATTCGTGGCACGTAGAACATATATATATATATATATATATATAGACACGGTGAAAGTATCGCGAGTATCCTGACGAAACAGCGTACAAGCGAGGAATGCGAGTCTAATATAACGATCATATCGAAGCTGCATCCCTGTACAAATCGTGACTCCTGCGAAAGGTCACTCTTGCTTTCCCAATTAATTTCTCCATTCATGCCTGAAGTTTTTTTTATCGTACGATCGTTTTCTCACTGAACCGACGTGCAGTTACATTCGACAAAGCTGCCGTTTATTCAATTTTTTTTTTTTTTTTTTTTAACACGTTGCATCGAGCGGTGTCAACGCGCGGCGGTAAGTCATTCGGATTAGCGCGCGAAATTACAAACGATCGTTGCAAATCACAACGATCGTTGAAACTATAACACACACATATATGAACAGACAACGAATTTCTGAATGAATGTTATCGCCCGGTATTCACCGGAATTTCGATCGCGCGTGTAACGAATGGCAATCGCGATATCAGAAATTCGTCACTTTTCGAGCGAGAGTTTTGATTTTCAACGCGCTCGATGTAAACGCGACGAGAGAGACCGATAATTAAACGCGTCGCTCGACTCTCTTAAGAGGTCGCGAAATATCAGAAATATTGATCTCCGCGTTTGATGAGGATCCAATTTATTTTTGTAGAAACACTTATCGGTAATTACGCCCGACGTGAGATCTCGTTGTACGCTCTCAATCGTCAATCGTTTAACCGCGGTGCGGAAATCAAGTTGCTAAATTACCGGCGCGCGCGCGCGTACACACACACACACACACACACACATACGTAACTACCCGTATTTAACGAAAGATCGAGGCGAGCTCAAGGCTCGAATAATTATTCGTGTAATCGCGTGCGAAATCCATGCGCGCGATTATGTAACGCGAGTTACACCGAGATGGATACGTACATACATACATACAGCGGCACTATACCGATGCCTTTTAATCAACATGCTCCTCACGTTTAAAATCTTTTACAGATTGTTGCGCATTTAATCGAGACTTGTGTAGCGCTCGAGATGTGTGACACGTTACAAAATGTTGAACAACGAGAACAGAGGAATTGAAGAATTATACTCTGAATTTATACGTTATTAATTTTGTATCAAACGCGTATGCATCATCTTAAATTGCGGAAAGAGAGAGAGAGAGAGAGAGAGAGAATTTATTTCCGTTAACTCCACGTGATGATGATGTATTTAACAAGAATCCTAAACTTCTCATGGACACACTATTCAATTTCAACTTGCCGCCAGGCTAAGCTATTAGACTAACTAGCAACTAGCAAAGCTTTGGCTTAAAGCTAGGGAAGCTTTAACGGGACTATAGACACACGAGGTAAATTAGACCGGATTTATCCGAACTTATGTATACACATGTGAATCCGATGTTCATATCTTTGGAACATAATAACCACATGACTGAGAAGACATTAAATATAGATGCGGTTGGGAAACATACGAGCCATTAAATTTTAATTAAAGCGCGATGTGAATCTCGTTTGAGTATTTTTAGATTATCGAATAGATATTTTTCGTCTCTGAAATAGAAAAGACAATTCCGTGAACGCGAGCGAGAAAATATATATATATATATATATATATATATATATATATTGCATTGCCGCTTTCACGGTATATAGATACTATGCATTCAATATATCCGTCCCTGGCTTAACGATACCTGCGGAGGCGGGCAGGATAAGCAGGGCTGCAGTCAGGAACGGAAACACGTGATCTCCCCTTGTTTCGAATTCCACGTGAGAATTCGCGTTTGACGTTCCCAGAGTCGGATATAGATAAATCCTCAACGTGATTTTATAATACAAGAGCTCAAGACAAAGCGAATATTTCAATTTACACGCGTCTAACACCGTTACATTATATGTATTATATATATATATGTATATTTACGCTTGTGTTTTCGAACGCGCGTGTTTATTGCATCAAATTATATCTCGTTTGTATAACTTGTTTTATTTGAGAAACTTGTGCGCGATTGAAAAAAAAAAATAGTAGTATTTTTTTTTCCTCAAACGACGTTTCGCTTGCAAAATAAAATGCTACTTCGGAATAATTAAAATTGCGGAAACGGATTTTTGTTGTTGTTGCGTTCCCAGAGAATTTAAGCAATTGTAAAAAGGAAATGTGAACTCTCTGAAGCATGAATCCAGCGCAACAACTTTGTTGCGCATCGCGCGCAAGTCGGCAAATTATTGGCTACCGATAGACAATCTTACTCGACGGTATTTATGCCCTCTAACTATGGTAATAATGTGTAGTTATTACGGGGATCTTCCGAGTGTTACTAAATAATAAAGTGGCACTTGATAACGAGCAAGGCCGCTATTAAGTTATCAAGTAGCTATATTTCACACGAGAGCTTAATGCATTTATATACGCTATACGTCGCGTTAATGCTCGCTCCCCGCGGAGTATCCCTTCGCTCTTCCCTGTGTGCTCTTTGTGTAAATTGGTCTCTTCTTAATTAACAAGCTGTAAATACACATTTTATATTTCGCGCAACTCGTTCGTTAAAAAAAAATTGTTTCTTTTTTTTTTAAATTAAATGCACAAACTCGCTATTAACGCGTGCGTTTTCAGATATGCGTGCGCGTGTGTTTTCCGGCGCGTTAAATGTTACGCGTATTGTAATCTTACATTGAAAAGTGTGTTCCTTATAGCTTAATACGCGCGCGGCGCGCACAAACAGCGATATCGAGCGATTTTTCGCGCGAAAATTTTAATTAATCAGAGAAAATGCGCGCATTTTCCTCGCAATCGCGTAACGCGTTTCGAGCGTACACAAAATACCTACACGCCCGCGTATCGTATCGTGATTATTGCCGTGCAACAACAATGGCGAATAATATAACCTGGCGTAACCACTAACAATAAAGCTAAATATCAATATTTAGAGTTACGACATTCCAAGCGTGCATACGTGAACACACACGTATCGCCTTCCCGTTACGTACGAAACTATAGCTCGGAATAATGGAATGTAGAGAAAATCACGTAGGTGTGATTTATGATTAAACCCGATAATATAACTTATAGGTGTGTTTAGGAAGTGAAAAAACTTTTGACGAGTTTTTGTGTCGAAATTTATTACCCGCCGATATTTCACGCACCATGCATTCGGAAGTGCACGAGCGCACTTCCGAAATCGGATGAGTAAATATATGTAGCACATGCGCGTTGTATATGCAAAAAAATTCCATGTGTGCTTTAAAAGTGGATTTATTCTCTGAACTATCGTCATAAAATATCTTATGTTATAACAAGTCTCAAAATTTTAAAAGAACTGAATTTATCTCATTGTAATTATTTTTGGCTATCTTACGTGTACTTGAACACATGTATGTTATAGTTTTTTGGTTTATTTTTAATGTAAGAATTTGTTAATGTAAGAAGATTTTTTTATGTAAAAGGTTTTATCACGTTATATTTGCGTAATATCAACGTTGTGTTACAATTACTTATATTTATATAATTGTTACGATTTTTATTGTATTTATTTATAAAAGTTCAAAGTTTTGTCAATCCATTTAATTTTCAAGTTTTTATTCATAGTTTCGAGCTGTCACTTGTCTCGATACGCGCGTCACATAAAGCATGTATCAAAGAAGTCGTTTACGTCAGATCTAAATTCCATTTTCGTTTAAATTTCTCATCTTTACAAAAAAAAAAAAAAAGAGAAAAAAAATGACAAATGGTTAACAGTGTTTTTTTATATTTTTTGGAAATTTAATAACAAAAGAGGCGAGTTTTAGGATAAAAGACCGCAGGTAGAAAGCGACCTTTCTCGTAGTCGTATATTTCATTACCTGTCGCGCTACATAAAAGACAAAAAAAAAAAAAAAAAAAAAAAAAAAAAAAAAAGACAAACAGGGNAGGGTACGTGACTTCGACTTTTTATCAGTTTCCGCGGCAGAAACTAAAAAATATTTTCCACGCCATTTTTTTCTTTTCAAATTTTCCAGCGATAGGATAAAACAAATGAAAAGTCCCAGATGATAAATGCTCTTTTTCACTCGCATGTGTGTGTCTCGCGTCTGGCGGCACTTCGTTTCGAGAATCGAAACATGCAGCAAATATACGCAGCTGTGCATTTCGTTTCTCGCGCGATCGCGGGATGATGATTCTCGATTTTGCGCGCGCGTGCGCGCGCGGCATAGTGTGTCGCGAATATTTATTTAACATACAGAAACGATCGTGAAAGTACTCGTGGCGCGTCGTCATTGTGTCGCACACCGTTGGAAACCTACCAGTGTAGCGTTTTGAGGATTCTCATGGCGTGGCCCTCTCAACAACTCGTCCTTCGCTCAAACCTCATGGACGCTCGCGCGACTTGCGACGAAGCTGCTGGACGGGCGAAGAATCTCAATGCACACACCACCGAGACCTTCTTAGTTTTTCCCGATTGTTTCGACCTTAGTCGATCTCTTCTCTTTATACAATTCCCAATAGTCCAACTAATAAAAACTCTTCATGTTCTTTGAATCTGTTGTGTCCGCGCTTGTTTTTTTTTTTTTTTTTTTTGTTTCTTAGAATTCTTTTATTTAACTTCTCTTTATTTGTTAATTGTTTTGAACTATTCTTATTAATATCCCGTTCTTTTGTAACATTCTTTTCTTCAAATTAATCTTCTCCTGTTGTTTCTCATTTAATTTCAATTCGCTTATAGTCTTGCCTCGACCTTCGCGGAACGATTCTACATTCCTCACACGATCTTCTGCCTCTTCTTACCACACCCCGATCGCGACGTCGTTAAATATTTACCGCCCTCTTCTTTTCGCGAACTACTCTCTCTCTCTCTCTCTCTCTCTCTCTCCCCCCCTTTGTCTCCTCTACTTGTTTGAATTTTACACCAATTTTGTTCGATCTTCTTTTCTTTTTTTTTCTTTATTCCCAGTGCTTGAATATCTCGACAATGGAAGCGCGCGTGGCTTGTTCCCGCGCCGTTTCTACGCCCACGCGAATCTGCGAGTCAAATTTTCTCCGTTTTCTCAACCTTCGAACTTTCTTTTTGAGGATCTCTCGATCGATTCCTCGACTTTTACCACGAACAACCGTTCCAGAACGTCTGCACTCACGTCGCAACAATTCCTGCTATCCGAATACCTGCGCACACACGTACATAAACACTCACACCGCGACTTTTTTCCCGAAATTTCCCTCTTTCTTTCCGTTCTCTCCTCGTGGATCACTTTACCCGTCTTCGACCTTATCTTCGTCTCTCGTTTGGTTTCTACGCGTTAGCGGCTTACATCCGTGTGCCGCCGCGCTCGGTGGCACATTCCACCTGTAGACGCCGTACACTGTCGGACACACATAGGCACGCACAAACACACATACAAAAGCTCCGGCGCACACCGGCGCGCAGGTACACGCGCACGTATATACACGGTCACGCGACGCACGAGGCACGGGATGCTCGGGCTCGGGATGCACGAACGCCGCAACTGCGACCGGCAGCTCAACGGAGGAGGTGTATGCACCTTCCGAAGGCTGTTATGCGACGAAGGAGAAGTTCGTGGCAGCGGCGGTTGTAGCAGCGGCGACGGCAGCGGCGGCGCAACGGCGCGCGCTATATCGCATGGAGAACGCTCCGTACCGGTTTTGGTCCGCCGTGCTGGCGGACAGATATGTGTCCCCCAACTCCAATAACCGCCTTTAATTTGCACCCCGGTTCACGCCCCGTCGAAACACTCAATTTCAACCCTGACGAGTTATCAGCTCAGTGAGCTGAGCGAACAGCACCAGCAGTCAGTTTATAGTGGTAATAAACGACGAAACACTCTCTCCCGTGAGAGAATTCTCTCTTCTATCAGTCACGCACAATACACCGAAAGCACACTCGGAAAGAATTAACCGCGCTCGTTTTCATTTTTTTCTTTTTTTTTTTTCTTTCTTTCTTTCACCGCGCACCAACAAAAGCACCAGTTGCGCTTTGCTCAAGATTAGGCCGGTCCATGGCTGGTGTACTTGCCGGGAAGAGAAAAAAAAAAATAAAGGAAGAAAAAAAAGAATATGTAACGAAGCGAACGCAGAGCACACGAGGAGGGCAGGCGTCCCTCCGGCTTCGAACTGACGTGAGTTTGTTGGCTTCGCTTTACCCCGAGAGAGATCCAAGCCGGTGCCCCCTTCTCGGTCTCTCTCTCTCTCTCTCTCTTCCTTTTTCTCCCTCTCTGTCGTCTACCTGTCCAATTCTCTTTCTCCTTCTCTATCTCACCTCGTCTCTTCTCTTTTTTCCTGGCATATGTACGTACTGTCGCGTACCGTCCTTCTCCTTCTACAGTGTACCCCCTTCTTCTCCACCACAACCCCCTCCCGTTCGACACTCACCTTCCAGCTGCCTCACGTTCCTGCCTTACCTCTCTTTCTCTCCCACTCTCTGCTTACTTTTCTTCCCCTCCAACTGTTCACCAGTTCAACCGCGAGTAGTCTCTTTCTGTCTCGAATCTTTCCTCTCGCTCCGAGAGAGACCTCTCCTGCGCTCCTTCCATCTTTCTTTCACAGCTCGCTCCGATCTTTTCCCATTTTCGACACTCATTTTCCTCTTCCCTCCGTTCTTCGCGTCATCTTTTCCTCTTTCTCTTTCGTTCTAGCCGACTCCGGTATGCATTCCTGTCGCTGAATCTGTCCGTCTCAGCAAAGCGCCATCCTCCACTTGAACCGTCTGTCTTCGTTCAGTTGAATTTGGATCTTTTCTCTCTCTCTCTTTCTCTCTCTCGGTCCTCCTTCATCTCTCACCTTTTTTCTACCCGATCTACTCCGAGGTGGTTCACTTCTTTCTTTCCCTCCTTCTGTCTTTCTTCTCCACCTTCTCCTCTTCTTCCTCTTCTCGCTGTAGTCGAACCTCCGAGACTCCTCTTTTCTGTTACGGCGGTCACATGGCCCCAGCATTGAAATCTCTCGCTCTTTTCCCCCTTCACTCCTACCTCCCTCTCACCGCCGTCTCTCGTGCGAACTCACACGCATGCGAGCGCACACAGCGACAGCTACACGCGCGCCGTCACCGCGCGACCGTCTCTCGTTCGAGAATAGTATTTCGACTCTCAGCTGATTCGACGATCATTTTCATCTTTCTCACGATTATCAATCCAACCTTGCTTCCTGAAACGTTCCAACGCCCGAGGCTTCGTCCGAGAAAGAGAGAGAGAGAGAGAGAGAGAAGGTCAGCGATGACGAGCAGCGGCGTAGTCGGAATAATGACGAAGTCGATGACTTTCAGCAGCGTAATGTTTTTTCGTAGAACGCAGAAAAAAAATGTTTGTATATTCCTAAGTAACATTTAATCAAAGTATTGATCTCTCTCTCTCTTTCTCTCTCTCTCTATATATATATGTGTGTGTGATAAAGTTATTATTAAAATTTTAGACGTTAAAAGAGATAAATCGTTCAGAGAGTTTGTTATAAATCCGCGTAATTTCACACAAAAATGTCGAGGTCCTCGAAGAACAGTTCTCATATTTGACACGGAAACACAAGTTCGTCACATTTCAATAGAATTGATTTAAGCGTGTTAAGAGCGTACTCGCGATTGAAGTCATCCGAATTCGATGAGGCACTCGACCAATCGGATACAGGATGCTGAACAGTGAGACACCTTGATATTGTGTGCAGATTTTGTCTGCAATTTTATTGTTTGCCATTGGAGACCTGGCTTTGTCCGAATGTTGAGTGTGTGTGTGTGTCGCGTCAAATGAAATGGAATGCGAATATCCGCTCGCGATCATTGCGCAACACTCTCATTATTCGAATGTTTCGTAACGACGAATAGTTTAGGACAAGCTTCCACCGCGGGAATTTTATCGATTTTTGTGCTAAAAAACCTTCATTACCATCCATCTGTGTGTGTACTCACTGACCCGCACCGGATTCGAATGTCAGTTAATTTGCGAGATGAAGCGCGCCAAAGACGATTGATTGCCAGCAGCGAAATGAATGCAGATCTAAATTATGTAAGCCTCTTTTAATCAATGAAATTCAATTATAATCTCGGAATCCGAGAGAACAAATTGTATCAACATAGCCGCATATACACACACACACACACGGCACAATCATCTCGTCTAGCAGCATCTGCCGTGTGCAGATCAGCGATTTGGCGGATTATTTATAGTTGATTAATCCGCCAACGCGATGTTTGCAAAGCAGAACGTCCTACATTTTCGCGCGCGCATCATCACTCATCCATCAAGATTCTTCAACTTGACAATCAATTTCTTTGTTGAACAAAAAAACTCCATCGAAGAATTAAAAAAAAAAAAAATCTTGCACTTATCTCGTTATTCTCAAGTAACATACAATACGTAAATTTGTGCAATTTGGTTTTATTCGAAAAAATGTATTAAATAAAAAAACTACTGAGAAATATTTCACTGGTTATATTTTGTGAGATGAGAAAGATTCATCCACAACGCTCTTAGGTCTGATATTTTTATGGGGGGAAAAAAATCGCTCATAAATTAACGAAAGCATTCGCGGATAAATAATGATTTTGGCAGATCTAGGACGTAAGCCAAAATACGCGGAAGTGGTAAAGTTTCTTGCTGGCTTATTTCCTTAAAGAGATACTTTGATTCAAAAATAAATGTAACTCATTTATTTACGGGCCGAGAGTTTCGTGAGAACTGCTGTAATATCTCGCAAAAAGCGAAAAGAAACTAACAAGAAAGAGAAATACAGACATTAGTTTTCATCATTCAGACGTCCGTTTATCGAGCGGTTGAGTAAGTCAGTGCCATTATCTTCTTTCGCGTCCGAGTTGTTTCCATCACTATCTGTGTGCCAGGAACAATGACAAGAAGATTCCACTTCTTCTTTCTTCGTTTTAATCATGTCGCCACACTCGGTTTCCCTTTCCGACGTTCCTTGTGCTGGCCATTTTCCAATCTTTTCAAAGCCAGAAAACGTACGTTGCATGTCGACAAAATGTGCGGTTTGCATACGGGAGAAAAGTATATAGGTATCTCCGCAGATGATTGAATTCGGCGCTGGCGTGGCCCAGGTATATGCCGCGCTTATTCTATCCGAATGAAGTCTGAAGAATCTCATTGTCGCTTTCTCAGAACAGACGTTGTGAGGTGAAAAAAAAAAGAGAAAATCTCCCTGTAGTTTAGTCATCTTAATAACGGACGTCCGCAAACGCCTATGTAAATTTTGTCCTTTGTGAATGTTTCAGGAGAGAATTTTACATATATTTTAATATTTTATGTAGTTTTGTTCTCTCATAAATCAACATTCTCTCTTATGTATGTATATTATATATATATATATCTCCTTCAAAATAATTTTTGTTATCTTATTGTCACATATATACATTTAACCCTAATCGTGCAAACTCCGTAATGTCCTAGCGAATCTTGAAAATGTGAAGAAAAATCTTATTGACTATTTGACAGAAGAATTCCTACAAAATAAGAAAATAGAATAAAACTGTTATTTCTTTAACCCTTTGCAGTCAGACATAGATCTCCCAGATCCGCTTAGAAATCGCGCTTCGGCATTCCTAGAAAAAACTAGTTCTTTTTTTTAAACGCTTATATCTTTGAAACTACTAGATTTTTTCAATTTGTTTTTTTTCTCTTATCGATGCAGAAGTGTCCAAACTCTCGATTCAAAAAAAAGAAATTGAACAAATATTAATTTTTCGCGGAGATATTCCATCTTAAAGTCGCGTGGGTCTTGAACGGTCTGACTAACTCGTCGTCATTTTTCAAAGTCTGATCACGAAGGATTAATATAGAATATTGAACAAAGCCTCATAAATTTTTACAGGAATTTTGCAACGTTTTAATCAATAAAAAAAATCTCGTCAGACGTAATGTCCAGAGTTTTACAAAATACGCCTAAAAAAAAAAAAAAAACGTTTACCAGGATTAGAGAATTAAAAAGTCTTTTCTAATACCTGCGCAAATTACATCGCGTTAAGAGTTTTCGAGAAGCGAACTTTTTTCTCTTGCAAGTGAAATGGAATATTTGGACAAAATCAAAACGGTGATTCGGTCAATATGTGGCTTAACCGTATCGATCATCAACCTATATAGACATTGTCAAACTATGTTAACCGTCTGCAGCATTTGTCGTGCCTAACCATGGAGTGGTTAACTCGCCTATCGATACTGTGTGTTTGCCTACCGATCATCTCGTTCGGTCATTGAACTCGCGCGCAAATGCAACGCGATGTAGCGCGAGCGTTTTGTCCGTTCCCGTTCGACGTGAAATATCGTGTTAATTTTTGTCGCGACACACGTACTTGGCGTACTTCGTTACGTGAGATCTCACAAATCGAGTTTACACGCGACTCGCTCTTTTGCGCACAATAGCGGCGTGTGTGTTTGATTTTTCGTACAGTTGTGAGGGGGGGGGAGGGAGGTCGCCAGCAAAGTGGTTTCTATTGCTTTG